AAAAGTAAGCTTTCAGAATTTGCCTCCTACATGATCTGTCCAATGGTGATAACCACTGTAATACTGAGCTTTTCTAAAGCTTGGAGTTTTCTCTAATGGCATCAATTGTCTGTACCAGTTTCATATGCCAACACGAAGTTCCAGCCACAAACTTACAAAATATACAACCCTCATCTGCTCTTAAATAGCAACAAGTAATTAAAAGTGAGAGATTTATATAGTTCACTGATGAAATTAAAAAAAGCTGTAAAAGCAGTCGGGTGAACGAATGTGTATTCACTCATATATCCACTCATTTATTGGACATTAATGACCATGTTTAAAATGAGTTTAATGGCACTCCATCTCATTTCCCACATCAACAACTCACAGCGAGGACTTGGATTAATTGGCAGCTGCAGGAGAGCAGCCAAGAGCTTTGTGGCTTTTATGACTGAGCTTAGCTTGGCTGGGATGTAATGCAGATCAAGGCAGTGCAAGACTGCCAGATATTGTGTTTGAGAAGTTTGTTCTGCCTCTTCCTGTACATAAACAGACGACTTCCGTCACCATACAACATTTCCCAGAAATGCTGAAATGTCTTATCGCATTCTTTCAAGACTGATTTCCTTCCATTTCTACCTATTCTCGAAGTTTTATTTTGGCATTTCTCAAACCTTATGCCCTGTGGCCTCTTTCATTTTTTTTTTATGTTTTTTGTACTTTATGGTGTGTGTGCTCATTTCTGTGTACTACAGGTTGTGTTAATTCTTTCTTTTTTATGTTCTGTGCAGGTTAAAATGAAATCCGTCAAGAAATCTATAAAAAATGTGTTATTCCAGTTTATAGTTAAGCTTTTCAATTGCAGATATGATTGACATATTTTTGGGGTATAAAGGATCTTGGTATTCATATGTTTTAAAGACTTAAGACGTAATTAAACAAGAACTCTTTGAGATGTCCATTAGACCTCATTAATACATCAAAACATGTAGTTTATTTTGGCGAAATTGTAGAAAAAAAATCAAAACATTACCTCTGAAAAAGTAAAAAATTCCATGTGCTTGTTCTTAAGTTTCATCCTGCACTGTATGGTTTTACTAATAATTTCATCTTATCTTTCTTCACTGTTTTGCTACAAATCTTTTCTCCCTTTTTTTTCACTCTGAGAATTAGGCAGCTATTCCCTTTTAGGCATCCAGCCCAGTTCTTAGTAGAACCCCCTTTTTAAAGAGTTTATGTATCTCTACTCTCGCTATGTTTGTCAGATTTTCTGCAGGTTTTGGCTGTAAGTTGTTTTGCTGTCCTCACAGACCTTTCCAGATCATTTAGCTCTGCTAATTCCTTCCAGGAGTAAAGAGATTTCTTAACTTAAACATGTCTTCCAGCGCTGAAGTCCATTTTTATTCTACCTAATAGATATGTATTCAGTAAAGTACTATAAAGCAAAGTACCTGCAAAGCAGTACTAGATGAAGAAAGGTAAAGGGAAAACAAATTAGAGATGTGGAAGTAGACTGAGACAAGTAGGCAGGCAAAGGCAGGAATGTAGGAGGTAAAAGAGTGCACATTTAGAGATGCAATTCAGGAGGGATTTGAAGACGATGATAATATTGATTACAAACTTGAATAGTGTATTTGAGAGAAAGACTAATGAGAAGGATATGATGAAATGGAAAAATACTTTTCATGTTAGAACTAATAACTGCGTATGTATTTCCTGCAGGACTTCAGAAATTGTGCTATTTCCGCAACAGAACCGCAGCAAATTCTTTCTTCTCTTGACCTTCTTTTCTGCATCAATTTCTATTACACTGCACTAACTTTCTTCCTGTTGCACCAGATGTGCAAACAGTATTGGGTGAGCTGAAGTCTGCCTAGATGTCACTGTCTGGGCTCAGCAGCTAAGGCTTTTTTATGCCCATTCAGCTTCCTTTTTCAGATTCAAGTTTATTTGAAAACAGTGTATCTCCAGTATAGATCTATTTTACATCATACCACAATTCAACACTAAGTATTTTCATGCTTAGTGATGGTAGCTCAGAAATTTCTTACACAAGTAGGCAGATAACAATGTCTCCTTTTTGGTATCATGGTATTCCATGATGAGTCCAAAGCCAAACTAAAGGTTTTAATTTTACATAGGTTCTCATGGTACCCGTTAAACCAAATTAATTATCAGAAATATAAATTTGTTCATAGAGGAAACAGGCTGAAGATAAAAGCTCACTGAGGAATTCTAAAATGGCTGCTGCACTTCTGAGAGATTTCCCCCCCCCCCCCCCTTTTTTTTTTTTTGGAAAGAAATTGGTTGAATGCCACTCTGTATTACAGAAGGCATTGAGCATCCTAGGTGGAAAACAACCACTGTCAATAGAAACTGAAAAATCATTTTCATCATTGGAAACAAAAAGGAATAGTTTTGAGTAATGACTTCTGTTTGCTCAAGCACTTGTGATTTATATGGCAGTTTCATACCTTATTATTCTGGATTCTTGAATGTGGTACATAAATTTACCAATATAGAGTGCTAGATGTAATGCCTCTCTGCCAAGTGCTCGTATTTCCCACTCTGACACACTAGGTGTTGACTAACCATTTTGGTTTTAGCATTATATTAGAATTATTTGACATAAAGATCTGAACTTTTAATTGCTTCTCATGTATTTCATGACTACCAAAGGTCAGGAAATGCTGAGTGACTGATGTGGTTGCCACAACCACATGTTTGTTCATCTGCACTGATAACTGTTAGACAAGGATTTCTTGTGATTGCTTACTATGGAAACACAGGATCCTCTTCTGACACTGCCTATCACGATTACAGCAAGAAGTCTGTTTCTGTTTGTCCAAGTCAGCCCTCTCAAGTTGAAGCTTGGATGATGCAAAGTCATCCTTAACATCGTAGCAGGGAGTCTCACTGTACACATAATCAAGTTCTAGTGTCGTCTTTCACTGTTAAAGCTTCTCTAGAACCACCAGTCCCTCCCAGCAAGACCCATCTTGCGTCTTCCTCAGTAACATGATCTGATAAGTGTGTACATTTCTCTGCAGGATCTACGTGACTTCTTACCCCCTATGTTCTTAGGGTTTGAGTCTTACTTTACTGAATCTGCAAGTAAACTCTGTTGGTGTAATGGTACCTCTTGCCTTCTCCAGGCCTCTAGTTCAAATTATGCAGTATTAGGAAAGCAGTAGTACATTTTGTATTGTTTCCCTAGTTTCAGCATTCTTTGGTCTTGGTTATTAATCTCGGAGAGGTTCTCAGGTAAGATCTGCTCCTTTATTAGAGTCTATGTTCCCTCCTGGTTCTGGATAGATGCTTTCTTAAGTGTGTATGTAGCTTACTGCCAGGTTCTTCAGGAAATTCCTGTGGACTTTCTGCCAGAGGTTGCTTCAGGAAATCCTTAATGATGTCTAGTTTCCTAATTCTGCACTTATTAGCTCCAATTGCGACTTTGTCCTCTTACTCAGGTGCATTTGGGAATTTCAACCTACTTTATTCAAAAGAGCCACGAATTTTTGACCTAGCGTAACTAAGAAGGCAAATTATGAGAGTCTCCAACTACCAGAATGATTGACTTCTTAAGCAGAAATTGTCTTCAACACAGGTGGAAAACACTGTTTATTAGATTATCCAGTTCTTCATGTTTCTCAGCCTACGGCGAGCAATGTAAAGTCCATTGTATCTTTAACCAAAGACCTTTTACCCGATAAAGGTTTGAAATAATATTCAATTTTATTTTTCCCTTAAAAAAAATCTGTTATGCAATAAGGACTTGCTTAGATCTGATTGCACTCAAGGCTACCTGTTTATAATTTAGAGTGCCTAGTTATACCGGCACTGTGCATAGGTTTGGCTAAAATCAGTGTATGGGCCAGACAAGCACAAATTTGTGGCTCTTGATATTCTAGGTGCTTGAATAGCATAGTAATGGTGCAAGGCTCTTCTTCAAGAGGATGATAGACAGAAATATGCCATTTTCTCAAAGCTTATCAGCCAGACTTTCATGGCAAAACATCTTTCATGGGCAAACACTTTCATAACAAAGCATAGCAAACTTTGTTTTTAAAAATGCAGCCAAATAATCATAAACAGACTTATTCACAAATTGCATGTATATTCTCAAGTATCTCTCATGGCAATTCATCTGTATGTTTTAAATACAATTTATGTAGGTGGCTGTTTTCGGAGTATAAGTGGATGATCGAGATTTCCCCCAGTGCACTTCCATTTAAACCAAATGTGTTTTGAATTGTCAATAATGTCAGCATTCTTTCTGAAGCTATGTTTGGATAAGGAAAAGCATAGATGGCATATACTTGACGATTGCAGAGTCCTAGCTTTTTATTTGCAAATTGCTAAATCTATCAGCCATTTTGTAGGACTGTTTACATCAGTTGGTGTGTGAATGGGAACCAGGAAGGTTGATGCTTTGGTGAGAGTAAACTAGCTACACTCTCTAGTTGAGAAGCAGCCAGTGCTGCTGTTTTATGAAGCATCCTTGTTGTGGAGCTCTGTAAGACATCTGGAGAGCTTCAGTGCATGGTTTTTCAATCATTATTCTTGCTTAAAGGTTGGATATTCCTATTAGCAAAGCCCTGATACAACCTTTGTTTAAATAAGCCTTGGGTCAGAGTTATACTTTGAGTCTTTATATACATCATGTCTTGAAGAAATGCTGTTGCTGGAAAGATTTAATTTTTCTCATGGGTCAGTATTGAATCCTTTAAATCCTAGAGAACTAATAATATAGTAGTAGGATTTTCCCAGCCAAGAATTTGATTTAAAAGAAAAGAAGAAGATGAAGATTAGAATAGCTTTATTTACTATGGACTATCATTACCAAAATCTGTGAAGAAGTTGTGCATTCCTGGCTGAAGACAAAAGTCCTTAAGGACTTTCTGTTCATATCTTACAAGTCTGTAGTTATTAAGTGGTTGTTGACTTTAAATATATTTTCTGTGGGGATAACCAATTCATTTTAACTGAAAATGTTTGGGGTTTGTTTGTTTGTTTAGGAAGGGGATTCCAAGTGACCAAGTGCAACACGCTGATAGGGAGCAAGCAAAGCGTATAGTTTACTCAGTGGTGTATGGAGCAGGTAAGCTGCTACAGTAGATTCGTACTTCATATGTGATTTATATAAGTAGACTGAATTTCTAAAGGTAAATAAAAGTTTGACAAGTATTAAATTTTTATGTTTATCAAGGATTACATAATTGATAAAATTAATGATCAATTAAATGATCTACCCGCTGTCAAAATTGTCAAATTAATACAGCCACATTGCCATATACAAAGATTACTCTGATGTTGTATTTATTTGCTGCTGATGTAACTGAAACATTAGTCTGTCTCAAAAATGAGTTTAATTTTGAGCGGACTTTGCTTTCTCTCGGTATGTAGACAGAGATAAGAATAACTGCAGTGAAATTAAAAGAACTTTAATATTGTCTCAAAACACATCTATAGAATCACAGAATGGCTGAGGTTGGAAGGGACCTCAGAGGTCATCAGATCCAGCCCCCTGCTCAAGCAGGGATATCTAGAACCCAGGACCATGTCCAGACAGCTTTTGAATGTCTTCAAGTATGGAGACTTGACAACCTCCCTGGGCAACCTGTGATAGTGCTCTATCACTCTCACAGTATAAAAGTGTTCTCTCACTTTAGAGCCAAGTGCTGCCATTTCTAGACAGCTGCAGAAAACCTGCAAAAATCCACAGTCACCCATTGTGCCTAAGTCCTGCCCAGGTCCTAGATAAGTTGAGACATTCCGCATACTTTCCAAAACTGCCATTTCTTAAATGATGCCCAACTTTCCTTATGCTTCACACATGCTTAGGATTACCTTTCCTGGGAAGACAGATGTATATGTCTCATCAGCCTACAAGCACTTGTGAAGTTGTTTTAGTGAACAGCTAACTAAACTTTATGTAGGTCTTCTGGAGAAAACCGGAATTTCTAAAGAAGATGAGTACTTGGAAAACTCATTTAGGAAATGAGACCCCTAGGATACAGGCTTATTTAACTTGAAAGCACATAAAACTACATTTTGGGTTCCTGAGTGAGAATGCTTTCTAAACTGTCTTTTTACAATGAGTCATCACAAGTGCTTGAACCAAAGGCAGAGTTGGCCAAGGGCATTCAATTTATCGTTTAGGACATTCAGCTGGAAAGGGGAGAAAAACACTTCAATTTCAGCTCTCCAGAATATCTGGTTTATGCGTAGGGTCTGTGTAGATTATATACCCTCATATAAGAATAAATATATATACACACACATGCATTTTTACATTAAACTGCATTGCATTGTAAACATCTGTTTAACATCTATATTTAAAAAGCCCAGCACTGGCTTCCTGCAACGTAAATTCAGACCTTTCCATGCTGAGACAGGAATCAAATCTCCCATTTCCAGCCTGAATGTTTTCATCATTAGAATACTTCACAAAATGCAAGCAGCAGCACCCCTGCCCCTTGGTCCATGCAGATGCTACACATTTCCTAGCTGTTCCCTTCACTCTGGATGAAACAGGCAGATACCTGACTTAATCAGACTGAATCACCACCAGTTGAATTCTCAGTGGAGAAAAGGCAATGCCTCAGAGCCTGTGTCTGATTACTCGTACTATAGAGAATTTAGATGATTAGATTAAGCAGAGTATTGGCACTCTCTCACTTGCTCTGTACCCGGCACTAAACATTTCAGTGCAGCAGTGCTTCATTTAAGTATCTCCATTTACTTGTTTGTGCTTTGTCTCCTGCTCAAGTGAGGGCAGCTAAAGCACCTGCAGGCTTCAGCTCATTAGCAGTGTGATCCAGTCCTAGTTAAGACATAACGTGGAGTGGTATCATTAAACTATTTAGCTGGAAATTGGGCTGCCAAAAAATTATTGTTAGACACCTGGAATTGATGGACTGAATTCCACCCACAGTTCATCTCCTTTCAAAGATCTTTTCATTAAGGAGATCTTTTCAAAGATCTTTTCATTAAGGAGACATTTTGATGCAACTGAAGAGTGTGAATAATATTTATTTCACTTCTTTTGGGGTTGAAAATGCAGATGCATTCCTTGAGGAGCTTGCCTGTATTATGTTTACAGGAGTTAATGAAAATCTTCCATGTAGTAAATAGTGATCTTTTTTCTTCTTTTTTTTCTTAGCTTTGGGTTATTCTTGGTTCATATGTTCAAGGTCTTCTCTATAATCCTGGGGGTAGAACATAGTATAACAAAGAAAGAAGAGTCTCATTATGTCTAGGAGTTGGTATTATAATAAAGCACCAAATTTTGAGAGGGATGACAGTATTACTGTCTTTTGCTGGATTTGGAGCAAATCAATTTGCCTGCTTCTGCCTCAGTCATCTTGTAGAACTAAAGCACAGAACATTTAAACACCTGTAAAACAAGGAATTAATTCCATTCAATGGCAGTATGTTTGGGCCCTGAATCGACACAGAGGGATGTCAAGGTGTTTAAATGGAAAGCTAATGATATTTTCATTTTTGAAAGATGATATTACAGAATGGAGAACACTAAAACTCATAAGCTGCTGCTAACAATTCCTCTGGCACAGATAACTCACGGAGAGTGCGGAGAGAAGCTGTAGTCCTCTCCTGAGTGTTTCTTCGCATGGCCTGTGCTCCTGCATTGTGAAACAGGATCTGACACAATTATGTGGCTGTACATTCTTCTCTTTTTTTCTTCCCAGCATCTGCTTTTCCTTGGAATATTTCAGACTTCCTTACTGATATTGTGTCTTAATTTTCCTACTGTGTTATGCAATACTTTGTTCTGTATATCAATAGTTCTTTAAATGGATAACATGGACAAACTTAGATGTTACAGTTCCCTAAGGAAGCCACAGCAGTCTCCTTGCTGTTAACAGCATGTGCTTTAGCAGATAGATTTATCCTCTGCTGGCCCAGGAAGAAAACCTCAATTAATTAGATGTCAAATAAAATTACAGACCTATAATAGCTCAGCAAGAGTCATTGTGGATGTCTTATAAATTTCTTCTTCTAGCACCTTGTCCAGACTGGTGTTCCTGCAGCTTAGTGCAGATCCTGGCTTGACTCAGGACAAAATGCTACACAATTGTTCTGAAATGCACATCAGACTGACAGTGATGGCATTTAGGTGGCTGAAATCTTCTCTCTCTAAAAAATGCTAGATAATTTTTGACAGTATTACAGTGACAATAGCTATTCTGTGCCTTTGGTGCCTTGAGACATTGCCTCTCCACTTAGGTTATTTGCAGACACAGGGCTGGTTCTGCGTTGCTGTGCAGCTGACATGAATATATGTGTCTTTCAAACATCATCTGACTAATGTTGATGTATGGTTTATTTTTACTGGAACTGTTTGGTTTATAAATGTATTTAAACTGTAGCTCTTAGTTTATATTTTCACACTCTGGAAAACTGTCTTCAGCTTTTTTCCACCTTATCTTATAAATGCTCTTAGATCCCACGTAGTATATATTGTGTGCCTATATCCTGTCTAAAAGTTATTATTCCTTTCTGTCTCTATTGAAACACTTTTTCTGTTTTGTTTTAGTTTTGGTTTTGGTTTTTTTATTTCTTTTTCCAACCCTTTTATCTCACAACTTGGACCCAGATTTTTACAGACATTGAGGAACCCATGACTATTTGGAATCTATGGGACTCAGACTTCTAACAGCCTTTCTAAAATCAGGTTACTTGGTCTGATTGCTTCAGCAGTTAAGTTTTCCTGTGGCTTTTCCAATAAATTGAAAGGTTCTAGCTAAACTGAACCAGCCACATCTCCATTCTTTTTTAGATCTTCATTCACATTTGTGTTTAAGATGGTTTTCAGATTCTTTATCTGCTCCTCAAAGTTTGCAGATTTCAACACTGAACTAATAAAATGATACTTAAAGCAACAAAGTTATTCTGTGATCAAAAGAGATTTCAACTATATTATAGGAATTCTTAATTACGTACTTCTTATATACTTCTTATGGGATATATTCTTAATCCAGTAACTTCAGTAAAACATTCAAGCTCCAAATTAAATATTTATTTTTTAAAATATGATTGTAGTGTATCAGATCTGTCCTCTTTCACAGAGGTAAGTAAAGTTAACTAATTCCACTAATTGTGGTTGTAGCAGTGCTATTGTATTTAGTGGATTTCCATTCTGCTTTATTGCATAAAAAAGATCGTTTCTTCACCATCAGGTAAAGAACGTCTTGCTGACTGCCTGGGAATTACTCCTCTTCAAGCCAGTCAATTTATAGAGAGTTTTATGCAAAAATACAAGAAAGTACATGAATTTACGAAGAAAACCATTGAACAGTGTCGAAATAAAGGTAATCCAAAACCTGTAAACATATTTTTGTTTACAGATCAGTACTCTCAGTGGTGAAAACAAAGACTCAGCTCGATCCAAATTCAGATAGTTACAGGACAAGAAAAAAGTTGAGATATCATTTCTTGGTGAATATGTGGGTTTTTTCTTTATATATATATACACACACATATATATGTGTGTATGTATATATAAAAAAAGAACTAGTTAAACCTGTCTGCCTTTTCTCAGAAAGGTGCTAGCAGAGTAAGACATCTGTTCATAGAGTGAACTCTCCTGAATGTCAAGTTACACTGCATCATTTTGACACATAATGTACTCCACACAAAAAAGCCCAAGGAATCTTTTACTTAATAAATATTGTACATGGCTGCTGGACCATGAAAGTTCAGCCATTTAGTCAAAGAGCCAATTTACAAAGCCCTTTTTCATTTTTTTTACATATTTTTTATTTCCATCAATCAGAATTTATGTTCTTGAAGCTCAGGTGGTATCTATGTTGACAAATGCATGCAGAGTGCTACTTGGAGCCAGGAGCTGCAAACTCTTCTTGCATCCTATTCGTTGTTAGTCTACACATTCATTTGTATTTAGTGAATCCTAAGAGTGCAGTAATTTGATGCTTGAAATACTGTCTTTTAAAAGCTACTTAGCAGAACTGTCAAAATGTATTTCTTTTGTTTCTTAATAGGGTATACAGTACTAAGACATTTTGTAGAAATAAATAGTAAATTTGTATTATAATACTGCATCATTGTATGGGTGAGTGTCATGGTAGAAACATATAGCTGACTTCTAGTCATGAAAACGGATAATATTCCTTTTTTTGTACTTTGTAGGACTTAAAAATGTACTGGAAGCATGAATTGTCATTGTGTCATGTAGTTACATTCCTTCGTTCCTTAATATTACTAAAGAAAAGTGAAGTTTCTGAAAACCTATTTTTAGCTATAATTAAGCCCAGCATAACATATATAGTAAAATATTATTCATTTATTATATATTCTGATCTAGTTAAAATAGCATAGCATTATTTTCTTAAAGGTGAATGAATTTCAATAACCATACTTCTGTGATAAAGGATCTGGTTTATGAGTTTAGTAGACAAGAGTGTCGTAACCAAAGTCCTTGACTGACATCAGACCACACTTGTGTAGTTAGTACTTACTGCTCCTCTCACCCCCATCTATCAACCGTTTTTTTACCTGTTAATGGTAGAACAAACTGGTTTGGTTGTACAAGCTCAAAAAATCTGCAGCAGGTTGACATTATTTAGTATTTTTCTCGTTAATCCACCTCGAGTCCAACTTCCCAACAAAAACATTCCAGCCTAGTGAGCTCATTGTAAGGTAACATAGTTACTTAATCTGCAGTTCAAAGGTGAACAGCACCCACTTGACTAATATTTAGATGTTATGAATGTCTGATGCTCTGTGTAGACGTGATAAGCGTATGAATAATATTAATATTTGTGATTAAGGTATTTTAGTTTAGATTTAAGGTTAGTGTATATAGAGTTTATATGTCACTATATTGTTTTTTATGTAATTATCAACGTATTAAAAAGACTACATTAAGACCTCATTGAAATATGTATTTGCAGATTAGTCTTTGACCACAGACCCATACTCTGCCACTATTATATGAAAGATGGTATGTGGGGATGCTCATTGGCTATGAGTATTGCAAGGGCAATTCTGTTGTGCAGACACATCACACTGGAATAAGGATATTACAGTAGATCTGTTTTTTACTGAGAATCCAATATTTCAAGAATTCTATCTTTAGATACTCTTCTTCATGGAGACTCTTAGTTGAATTGGGAAGACTGATTTGCCAGTGTCCTAACCCCCAGATAGTTCAGCTCCTTTTTCCAAAACTGGTACTTTTGGTATCAGTGCTTCTAGAAATACACTAATTTGCAGAAAGCTGTATTAATTCAGCAGAACCATCTTTTTCATCTGCACATAAGTCTGGGTATGTGTTGTCCACAGTAAGGTCATAACTCTTTGGAGAGGTCATCTTAACATATGTGCTTTGTACCTTGGTTGTCAAAGACGAGACGGTGACAGTCTGAACTTCCATGGTATCTCATGGCAATTCATGGACAGTCAAGGTGATCACAAGTATAACAAAAGATTTTGTAAAGATATATTTTTAACACTTATTTTTAATTTTTCTTGAAATAAGAAAAGAAGTTTAGTTTTGAAGATAAGCTGAGATAGGGTTTTGCGTGTGTGATTTTGACAAGAGGATTCTTCCATCTCTTTTCCTCTCTCATCTCCCCTCACTTGCCCTCCATATTTTGGCAATTTAGATCATTAAGCCTAACATGAAGCTTTAACTGTGTTTTCATGTATTTCTTTTAAAATAAAAGCCCCACCACACTAAAGTCAAGGAAGTTTGGCTGTGAAAGGGATGTGAAATCACCACAGAAAGAAAATGGAAAGAAGTTAAAACTTTTTTTCCCCAAAAAACCTCTTTGATAATTTTGGGAAATATTCATTAATGATTTAATTATTCTACAAATTGATTTTTCTTCACTATTCCCAAGTAAAATACTCATTGTATAGAAAGCTCTAATTATGGCTGCTAATAGATAGCTAATTCTGCTAGGTATTTATAGTTTCTTCTCCCACAGAGAGAGCTGGCTGGTATATCAGTAGATGTTCCTAATGAAAGCAGAGCTTTAATGAACAAAAGTTTTCCCTGTATAACATGGACCAATTCTCTGAATGAAGTAATTCTTAGACCAAAAATACAATAAGCATTTAAGGTTTAAATAAGAGAAGTTCTGCTTATTTTCAGAGGGCAAAATGTTAAATTGACTCAGGCAGCACATAATTACAAAAATGGATATTATCTGTAAAATGAATTTTTGAAATTTAATTTTAATCACTCTAAGAACAGTAATTTCTATCTAAATCCTACAAGGTTATGTGGTTTCCATCATGGGACGTAAAAGGCCATTGGCTAATATCAATGCACAGGATTACAAACTGCGCACTCAAGCGGAGAGGCAGGCGGTCAATTTTGTTGTTCAAGGTAAAATCCTGCTCACCAACTTCCCTCTTTATCTGTGCTTGGCTTTAGTGGACAGCTCCTCTGATCATCTCAAAAGAATGAATATTCTAGTAGTCTCCTAGACTCAACTACTGAGGCATGAGCTGTATTAGGAAAGAGAAGTTGCCAGTAAACAGTGTCATAAGAATAACAGTATCGGTGTTCTAATACACTGCAGTGCTCTGTGGTAGGTAAATACAGGTATAGATACAAACTATGTATAGAGAGGTTATCTAGAATTCAATGTTTCAGATATATTGCTGTCTTAACACTTTTTCCTTTCTGGTTTTGATAGATTATTATTTAAAAAGGGCTTCTGTGATTCTACTGCCTACAGATTCTAACTTGTATTGTGCCAGATAGCTTTAGTTTAAGTAACTGTCAACATTACAAGAATCGTGCATTGTTATTATTTGTTTGAAACCCAAATCATTCTTTTTAAGGCCCATTCAAACTTAATCCTGTGGAGGGCAAGAAAAAAGGTGGGGTGTATTTTTCCATAAAAAACATTGCAAATATGCCATATAGGTTGGAAATGTAAAAGTCAGCATAAAGTGCTCAAGCGTTAGTTAATCTGATGCATTAACATACTTCTAAATCACTTGGATCTCAGGCCTGTAGAGAATTTACCCACCTAAAGAAAAAAATAAACTCTGGGCTGGCAGTCCAAGGCTGAGATTCCTCCTACTAAGCCACTGCTTGGAAGAATTACTTTTTCAATTGGACAATGCTGACAGGGTTTTCATTAAGTTATATTGGAAGTGCACAATTTATAGGCAAGGAAAAAGTGCTTTCTAGACATGGTGGTGGTGTGTTTTTTACAGAGTAATTTGAATTTTCTTTTTGAAAGGATCATGTGTTTTTTCTTCTTTTTGTTTTTTCCTCTCCCAATGTTATTCATTTTAATGTTTCATTTTAAAAATTTATGTCATATTTGACACTCCTTATAATTAGTAACTGAATTTAAGTACTGACTGTCCAAGGATATGTACAGATCTAGAATTGTAATAGATATGCTGTTGCTTGAATACTGAGCTCAAGTGATGGCTGCCTTGCTGTAGTAGGCACCCAACTGTAAAATTTTACAACAACCTCATAAAATCTGCAGCAGAGCTTGCATGTTTGGAACACTGGGCATGCCTGTCCCGCCTTCTCCAGAGACTTGTGTTCCGTGTACCTGGGTTTCCATCCAGCTGGCCAGCAGCCCTGTCCAGTTAAAGGCACAGTGCTTGAGCTAATAGAGCGAGTCCTGCTGGGTGTACAGTGTAGTCTTAATAAAGCCGCACGGCCTCTGAGCAGCACTTGCTTATGTCCATCTGTCCAAGAACTCAGAGCTCAGGCAAAGCTATCACAGGACTGTCTATGAAACACTCACTTACGTGTACCGTTTTGTGCTGTACTGAATCAGTTTGACACTTCGTTTGAACAGGAAAACAAGATAAGTGTTTGAGGCTAAATTTGCAGTTAAATGTAGCCATCTCAATGATCAGCTGTGATTTGCACTTGATGTAGTTAACGAGTTAAACAGCCTCAGTATGGGATTCAGAGGAGGCAATTTGTCGTAAGATAACCATGAAGAAGAAAACCATAAGAAAACCATGAAGAAGAGGTGTTAAGTCTGTCTCCTCAATCTCTTAGATACTCTGTCTTAGCCAAAAGGGCAGCTGTGTCCATCAAGTACAGCATAGCCAGTCAAGGGAGGTGATTTTCCCACTTGACACTGCACTGGTGCAGCCCCACCTCAAGTTTTGTGTGCGGTTTGGGGCACCTCAATATATGAAGGACATCAGACTATTGGAATGTGTCCAGAGGATAGCGACCAAGATGGTGAAAGGTCTTAAGGGCAAGACTTATGAGGAGCGGCTGAGGTCACTTGGTTTGATCAGCTTGGAGAAGGCTGAGGGGTCCCCTCATGGCAGTCTACAGCTTCCCCAAGGGAGGCAGCAGAGGAGGAGGTGCTGATGTCCTCTGTCTGGTGGCCAGTGATAGGACATGAGGAAATGGTATGAAGCTGCTTCAGGTGAAGTTCAGATTGGACATTAGGAAAAGGTTCTTCACTGGGAGGGTGGTCGGTCACTGGAATAGGGTTCCCAGGAACACGGTCACAGCACCAAACTTGTCAGAGTTCAAGGAGTACCCAGACAATGCTCTTTATCATATGGTTTAGTTGTTGGTAGTCCTGCAATGAGCAGGGAGTTGGACTGGATGAACTTTATGGGTCCCTTCCAACTTGAGATACTCTGTGCTTCTATGATTATCTCTCAGCAGAGTACCCTTACCATCTGCCTACATGGCTATTCCTACTCTGGAAGTTGAACCATTTGGAAGAAAGAATACAAGATTCCATCAAGTTAGGGGTGTGTGAAAAAGGTATCTATAGTCTAGTATGTTTAGGATATCTGATAGGACAAGGAGAATTATGGCTTCCAATCCTTACTTAAAGGATTGTTTCTGTATTTTGTCTGACAAATCTTTATGTAAAATGTATTGGACCCCTGTTGTGTGGTTCAGGACAGAACCCTTCACCAAACTGCAGGCCTGGAGAGTCATTCTGCCTCTTGATCACCAGAAATACGTAATCTATTATATAACATGACACTGTTTTATGCACCACTGCTCTTAACACTGTAATGTAATGAATATACATTACATACGCATGGAAATCTGAAAAAGCATAAAATTAAGTTTCCAAATGGAAATGTGGTGTTGAATCAATGTTTTAACCTTTTATGACATTAAATTTTAATTGATTTATAGGCAAAATTTCATTGCAATTTAGAGTTAGATCATTTCAGACATTTTTCATAAAAAGCGATTTTTCAACTCCTGGCCATGACTGACAAAGTCACCTTTAATTAACACATAATTTCATATTATTGTTTTCTGGTTTTAATTAACATGTAATTAATTTATTAATCTTACGATATTTCAAATATTACATGAGTTGAATGTGCTAGTTTTACAAATTCTTACAATTCCGAATCTTCAGATGTTTTTCATTCTTGTGCCTTAGTTCTAAGAAGAACATTTGCCTTTTGCATGCTTTAAATTAAAACCAGATCACTTTCTTTCTTAGGATCTGCAGCTGATCTCTGTAAAATGGCTATGGTGGAGATTTTTACCTCTGTTGTCATTTCTCCAACTTTAACTGCCAGGTTAGTAATGAATGACTGCAAACCCATTTAATTTTAAAACAAAAGTAGTTGAAATTATGTGTTTCTGGCATTTTAAGCAGCTTTAGATATACCATGTGTGCCTCTGAATCTTTTAACAAGCAAGGACTTGTGGGATGGTTTTATACATTCAAAGATATCTTTGTGCTTAAATGGTTGGATCTGTAAATCCATCCCAAGGTGATGAAGTGCCCTGGGGCCATTTAAACTCAATCAGATCTAGTTCAGTGGTAGTTCCACATCTTTGAAATCAAGCCCACTGATCATATCCTTCCTGTATTTTGAGTGCATTGTACAATGGGAATTGAACATTCAATGGGCTGGGAAAAAAAACAGGAATCAGGAAGCCAGTGCTCAAGCAAAATAAATGAACATGTTTTATTCTTCTATAGATGGTTTTCCTTTGCTAAAGAAAAGCTAGGTCATCATCATTCCCTTCTGTTGTGACTGCACATAGATGGAGATCACAGAATGTCCTCAAGATTTTTATAACACTAGCAGAAATAATGAAGTCTACTTTTTTGTTATAAAGGATGGAGGGGATGGTGCAGAGAGTCAGTAAGAATTATTATTTGCTGCAATAGAAAGAAACTTTGAAGTTAAACATTCATAAAAAATCCCCAAACAAATGGTTTCTCATCTTTTGTAGTTCTGTAGTAAACAATCCAGCAGAACACGATTTTTTGCAGTACAAGTTCATATAAAAGCAGACATAGTAGGTAGTGCAGAACATCAGTGCTTCTGTTGTCACCCAGAAGGGGAAATCATAAAAACTTAGCTGTAGCAATCACGTATTAAAGACTTCAGTGGGAGTTTAGGTCAGCACAAAGTAACAGGGTTTGGCCTTCCAAACATACTCTGCAATTATGTGTAATATGTAACCCTATAAACATTCTATGTGTGTTTGTGTGCGTATCATTGTGTTGTGAAAGCACAGGGGACTGGCCACACCAGGCATCAGAAAAATATCACTGCCTATCCTTCTTATTCCTTATCATGAATGTCACACCTGGGAAAGACCAAGACTGCAAGGGCATCTAAAAGAGACAGACTGTTTTAATCTGGAATTTTGAACTCCTGCCACCCATTAACAACTGGATAGCTTTGCTAAAGGACAGCCTTTTAATAGTCACTAATGGCTCCTTGCTGTAATATTTAGTAGGTACTTAGAAGCCAGGCTTGACAGAAAAGCACAATCAATGCCTTTATAAATTCTGTGAACACTAACCTGGTTGGACAGTGGCTTTTGAAAGCACCACTGTGGTCTTGCCAAAAGACTGAAACTTGAAAATGTGTGATTCCAGTTGTGTGCCAGGTGACATTCAATCAGTTATTTTTCCAGCGTTCTGTTTCTTGATTTTCTTTTCAGTCAAGCCAGGATAATGATCCTAACATCCTTTGTAAAGTGCTTTGAAAAATATTGTTAAAAGGAAGCGTATGCATAATTGCTGCTGTTGTTGTAACAGTAGGAATGCACGGTAGCTCTTCCAAAATGAGAAATATAATCAATCTCCTATTACCATCCCATCAGATCATACTAATTCCAAAGATAGCACATTGCTATCTTTTCTTCTATCTTCATCCCCCTTGAAGGTATTTTTTTTCTTCCTATCAGAACTTCTAATTTTGGAAACAGGGTTTTCACTTTGAACAGTATATCAAAGAGAGATATCTTTTATATATGCTTTAGAAGTGATTATGAACCATACAGTGGGAGACAGTATCCTATTAGGTGTGGCCAAGTAGTGGCTAACACTTAGCATTCTGTCTTCCTTACCTTGGAATTAAATGAAAATAATAAAGTGAATTCTGCATAAGGTCTTACAGTTTGTAGTGTTGGTTTGCAGGTATGTTTGCAGTCTTCTCCACTGACAGCATTGCATTCAGTTTTCATTCGCTGTATGCTGTTCATCTGTCAGCAAGCTCTGACCCAACAGTATGAAGCTTTATTTTTGTATGAGTAGTCATCAGTAGGTATTTCAGGTGTTGTTTGAACATCTGATATTGCATTTGGAAGTCAGGGAAAGGAAATCAAGTTACTTTTTCATGATATTTCATAAGAGGCCCTCTTGACAAAGCAGCATATTCTACTGTGACTGATCAATGGCTGTTCTGTCAACTAGCAGTCTCATTTTTCTCTGTATTTCTTCATCTTTTAATTCAAATACCAGCCTGGCAACTTACGCTGTTGACAATAAAAAGTCTATCAGTTACTTGGAAATAATTTGCATTAAGCAATACATATGATAAGGAACTGATATTAGTGTGGGATAGCTGTTGGCATCAGTGTTAACATCTCTGCATTTTGTGCAGCACTGATGAGTAATCAAAATGATTTCTTCAGACATCTTCCACTTTACCTAGATCTTTTCATTAAGAAGCTGTTCTGCTGCTGATGGCCAGGTTGCTTACTGAAAATGTGCTGCTGACATAAATTATTCAAGTGCCAGCTTTTACCTGTCTGATACAATTCACAGAACCTCCACGCAATGTTTCCTGCAGGCAGATGTTAGCAAAGAAACTTCTGAAGTAAGATCAAGGCATACAGTAGCAACTGAAAGAAAGATTTATGGAATTGACAAGAGTGGGAAGGTACTTGGTGAACTCAGGTGGACAGTTGTAGTTATTTTCAGTGTTTAAAACATCATTGCAGTGACAGATGCATAGAAACTTGGTAAGAGAAAAGGATTCTTGCAAATAGTGAAAGAATTGCTGCCTGAGGAAATTCTTGTAAAAAATATCACTTTGTAAGCTGAAGATGCACTGATGTTACCCAAAGTCTACCTGGTGCTACACAGACATCTCAAAAAGTCATTAGAGATGTTAATATCCCAATAACATGCAAATTAAATTTAACAAGTCTGCAGAACTATTGAGTAATTTGGTGTGAATCCAGCAATTCTGCTTTCTCACCAATTTATTGTTCCTTCAGCACTGGACCTGTGCCACAAACACACAGCTTTACTTCCCAGCATGTCCCAAGCCTAGTTAAAGAGACAGGTTCAGCAACAGGGCAGATATAAATGAATGATCCGAAAAGGAGGAGACACCAGCAAACAAAAGGAAAAGGCAGGATCTTATTTTCTTGGTCCCAGCTGCTTTTCAATAGCAGTGGATGTTGGAAGTTTTGTATGTCTTCCTCAGGGAACAAACACTTTAAGCAACCCAATGATTTTCTGAGTTGGTGAACTGTAAATGCAGCTCACTCATACAGATAGCTAAATTAGAAACAGCCCTGATCGTCCCAGGAACAAGCATTGTGTTATGTGACCTGGATTTTTTCATATACAATTCGTGTGATAAATCACAAATGATTCATTTGGCTTGAGTTCTTGACACAAGAACCTAGAGGCATTTTTGTAAGGTGTGTAGGGATTCAAGCATTAGTACTTCATGCTTGTCATTTCTCAGATTCGTGTAAAACGACATACTAATAAAACTAGCTTCTTGATTAAATCATAGCTCCAACCAAACACAATCAGAAAACTGCTTAGTGCTGCTACTGTGTGATGGTTTTCTTTAATTCTGGGCATAAATCTTATGTCCCTGTCTCTTCAAGAATTAAATAATTGGGTTTACTCATGTTATAGCAGTTATCCAGGATTTTCAAGTAAATGTTTGTTGCTCTGGAACTCTACCCACAATTCCCAATATATGGTTGCAGATCTTCTCTGAACGATTAACTCTTGTCAGTTTTTCTCCTTAGCCTAATACTGGAGAAATATAATCACAAGGAAAAGATAAAAGCTTTGGGTTCTTCTTGAGGAGTGAATAAAATTTTTGTTTCACAGACATATGCTTTTGTTTCAGTAGCAGAAGGAAACATCCTAGATCATACTGCTATGTCAGAAATGACTGTGAGCTCTCCATAGCTGCTGTCCCATTCCAGTATGTAGCTCTCTGCTTCCTAAAGTGGCCAGATAACGTTGTATTTCTAAACATGCTGTGACTTCACAAAATCATTACTTTCCTCAAGCATTCAAGCAGTATTTTGCATGTATCCACAAGATGGTGAGCTGTTACCTGAACACTTCATGCACAGTGAGCCAGAACAAGTCAGAATGATTTATTCTTTATAGAAAGAGATAAATATATTTAATATGCTTAAATATCGCAGCCAAATGGACATGCATGATGTAGCAAGTTTTGCAATGTTCCTTTATATGGGTTGTTCAACACAAATATATATGTTATTTAGAAAAGCCTTTTGTGGATCACCTTTTAGGCTGGTATGTTTTAAGACACTTTGGGTACATGCGAAAATTCTATTCTTTTTAATTAACCATCTGTTCAGATTCCTGCTCTTCATGATGCAGCTGCTGAGAAAACAGATTTCACAAGTTAGCTGAATTTTTATTGTTATAATGTTAAAATGTCAAAATATCTGGGTCTTTATTATGGAAACACTGAAAGGTGTAGCTTAAAGTTAATGCAGGTAACATCTACACAAGCATGTTATATCTTATGCTATGGCCTTCACAGCTTTTTACCACTGCATTAGAAATCCTTATAGATGCAGCTTCAAAAGGAACTTGAAAATCTGCAAAATACTGCAAAATTATCATAACCTTGTTCCTTAGTTACATGACAACTTAATAGTCATTCCTTCCACTGGAATATGTGTGCTTCTGTGGGGAAACTGACACAATTAATTAACAGGTAGTATTAGTAGCATCAGAAAAAAATTAATTCAGTTTTAGTGTAGAGAACATGGAGATTTCTAAGGAGAATCAGATCCAAAATCCATCTGGTCCATTACTGCTGAGTGTGGCCAGTAGCAGATGCTTCAGGAGGAAGGTATAAGATTTTATAGTAGGATAAGCCTGTCTGTCTGCAGATTTTCATCTTCCTCTGGTTGTGGGGATGAATCTAAGTTCTGAAACAGAAGATTTTTTTGTATCAAAAATGTACAGAGGCCTACTCTCTGTCTACCTTCAGGTATTAAATGTTGATAGCTGTTCTAGGAGGTGGTACCCCTGCAAAGTCAATGCAGAGACCTTGGGGTTTCCAGATATCGATTCAGAACATCTAAGTCAGAGCCTACCTTGGCCCCTTGACTACAGAAGGAGCATGAATTTAATTAGTTTGAGCATCTCTTGGCGCATTTGAATGGCCTGAAACACTGCACATGGCTCTTAAAAAACAGCTTCTGAGAAAGACTACAATGACTATCTTGGTTTTGTTTTATTTTCCTCCTATCTTACACTGGCCTCTTCTATCTATTGTAAGGATATTCCTACAATAGAGTCTGCATCATGTCATGCCACAGCACTCTCGTTTGCAGTTTAAACAAAATGTTGTTTCCTTTAATGGTAAAGAAATGCAGTTGTTCACCAATAACGTAATAGCTGTTTTGTGGAAGTCAGTTCAATAGACTACTTATTTCTCAGCAATGCATTGAAGTAGTCATAAAAAACTTGTAATTCTGTACTTTAGCACATAGAGGTCCAGATCTCAAATATATTGTTTTACAGTAAGAAACAAAACCTTCGTTTGTTCTTATATTAGACATACTGGCCTGGTGCTAGGAAATAATATACTGTAAGGAGGCAATATGGCTTCATTAATACAATACTTTGAGAAAAAATATCTTGATGATAGTTTAATTTGTTTTGGCATATATACATCAGTAATAAGATTATTATGTAGTAATGATAACTGGGTGTATCCATTGAAGGCCTGAGAAGTTTAGCCTCTGTGTTGATTCATAGGAAACTGGAAGAATGATGAATGTAGTGTGGAAGAGAATAAAAAATTCTTTACAATTCTCTAGTGCAGTGCAATGGTTTAAGAAGGATTTTGAGTGCTGGGCACACTAAACTGTTGTCAAAAGCCATGTTCAGGGTGGCAATCATAGAAATACTCCTTCATTGGAAGGTGCAGTTTGTAGCAGTATCTCCATTCCATACCATGTCCATACTTGGGCGCAGGTCATGTTTCTCAGTAAAAGAAATCATGTATGTACTCATCAAAAATGATGCCTAACCTGCAGGCAATCAAAAAAATACTTAATAACATACTAGCTTGTAAATCAAAGGCATTTTTATCATCTGTAGAACAATAAAGATACTAGTCTCTGCCTGGTTTGCAGTTTCTAATCTAGTTTACTGTACCTTTTAGCAAGAGATAATGAGAGGAGTTTGCTATTTCAATATTCCTTCAAAGTGAAGCTGATTCAATTAAGCTGTTAAGCAAAAATACAGGTTTTTTTTCAAAGTTCTTTCACTCAAGGTGTGCAATGGGTGGGTGGGTGCATGCACTGGAATGGTGGAAGCTATGAAATTTGAATGTATAAATTGCTTTGATTTTTCCTTTTATCTGCATTGATATCAGATTGAATGCTTCCTTCCGCGCAGCAGCGTAATGCATGCAAGAATTATTACTTTAACAACCCTGAAAAAATACAGATGGCCTTGTACTGTAAACCTGCAGGAGTAGAATGGATTAAATTGATGAGAGGTAGATAAGAAAAAGACATAAAAGCTTAAAATAAATCTAACTTGTTAGATGAACACTAAGGAGGAAGTAGTGTCTGCTATTCCACTTCTTGGCATCAAGCTAGGAAATCATGTTTAGCATTAATTAAAAATTATGTAATATCTTTCCAAAACAGAAGTGTATTAGAAATACTTATTTCTTAGATCTCACGTCTCTGAGATAAATCTTATCCCTATTTTGTAATTGAATATTCATTGCTTAGCAGGAGAGTAGCAGAGCTACACAGAGAACCAGCAATGCTAACTTCTAGTTCTGTATTTTAGCAGACAGAATGTTGTTCTGAACTTCAGTTAATTGCTTGATGTTTAAGATGTGGTGGATGTAATTCTGCAGCTCTGTGCAGTTCCTCAGTTAACTGTTAATACACCCGAGCTGCTAGGCTGTGCTGTTCAGGATGACAAGCACTGAGAAACAGGGTCCTTTAGCCCAGGCAGAGAACCAAGCTAAAAGAGCTGTGCTGCTTTCAGTAGACGAACTGGAGCATGCAGAGCTGTGTCATGTCTACTGTGCTGTCCAGACAGAAATTTTGAGTTCAGTTCACATTGCTTCCTGGTTCACATAAGGTTGCACCAATCTTTGGTCCAGCCCTGCTCCTCCTGAACTCAGTTTTACTTTTAGCTTGGAGAAGAGGTGATCAGATGATCCAATGCTGAGTGGTTTTGAAAATCTAGTTCTTTTTTCTCCATTCCTAAATCCTGATGAATCTATATAAAATGTTTAATGTATATTGTAAGTTCTTCTAAGAAGGGACTTTTCCTTACCAAATATTCAGAATATATGGTGCTCTAATCCTGACTGAAGGCATCTCATACAAATAATAACCACTCACTCACATTTCTATTGCACTGGTTTAATCAATGCAATTATTTTCACTTATTCAATTGATTCACAGTATATTAATATTTAATGTTCACAGTTCTTTCTGATTCTTATCTTTTTACATGTCACTTGAATGATTATAAGGAATCTGTTACTTTAATTAATTTACTTGCATTGGAAATTATATCTTGTCATGTAACTGTATTGTCTTGCTAAAGATGATCATGGTCTTTTAATCTATTTCTTTTTGTATCCTATGTCCCAGTTTCCTATTAAAAATATGTTAATCTGTTTCACTCTGCTTCTGACTGTGTTGTAAGTGACTAATAATTTAAGATCTATTATTAGAGCTCACCACACTGTTAGTCAATGTCACATTGTAATTTAAGGCAGTGTGAAACTATCTTAGGATATTTTCCTGAAAGCTGTGAAAAGTTATAAGTAATAACCATATTGATGTTTCAGCCATTTGTAAAGCATTATTTACTTGAATCACTACTGGGTAATAAGAGAAGTCTACAGAGGGCATTCAATTTAAATGTTATATACAAATTGCAAAGCAATTTGGAAATAGGTGGTAGTTTCATGACTTAGACTCCCAACAATAATTAAAGAAGTACTAAAATAAACCTAGTAGGAATACAGTTTAATCCTATATGCAGTATTTTTCCTTCCTGAGTGAGAACTGCACTTAGGGATTATATGTGCTAGATTGTATCTATATTACCATGGACTTGATTCAATCAAATGCATTTATTATTTCCATTGTGAAAGTACTTTTGCACACAAACCAAGAATTTAGGGTGCTCTTCCTGTAAGCACTGAACAGTTAAGTCACAGTCCATGTGCACGAGACCTATGATATAGATCTAATACAGACAAAGTGAAAAACAAAGCAGCAGTATAAATTCATTGCAAAACAGCCCTAGCTGAAGAGCTCAGGTCCATGTAGTTGCATGGCTTTCAAGGCGTTACTGCTTTCAGCTGTAAACTCTGCCTTTATGAAGGCAACTATCCTGACAGCAAAGGCAACAGATCAGGTTGTGTATCTGTGCCTACATTTTCACTCTTCAACCCACTTGTTTGTCACCATGAGAGCACCTACTTTGCACTTAAGTGAAACGTCTCTTTCCTGGAAAAGACTCAAGTCACTGGCCAACTAGGAGTTGGTATTGGTATACCAGTGAGCTAAGTACTCTTACTATTGACTAAATTGCATTAGTAAAACCACCCATTTCCAACCACAATTATTCCAGCTCAACTTGAAAAAACAAGCTATATTAACAAAACATAGCCTGTCTCTATAATTTCTTGCATTTTTCTGCAAATTACATTGGTTTTAAGTAATAACTTGTCACATCATCAAATCCCTGAATGACATTTATAAGCTAGCAAGTAGAGTTTGGGGTTACAACCTTTATGTTTTCAGGATATGTGGAGTGGCAATCCTCCTAAATCCATTAATGAATTTTTCATTTCCTTGGGACATTTATTTTCACTTTAACATATCAGTTGTGCATGTGGCAATTAGTTGATGATATGGATGGAAAGCATTGTTAGAAATTTCTTGCCTACGTTATCTAAAGTCTCTGAAATATTTCAGGTTAATTGCCCAGATTCATGACGAGTTGTTGTTTGAAGTAGAAGATTCTCAAATCCAGGAATTTTCAGGTAAATACAATCTCTCTTGCTCTTTCTCCCCCACGATCTTTTTTTCTCCCTATAACCTGTGATTTCTCAGAGGATAAAGAATTAATGTAACAAGAAGCAGCACATTGATTCTTATGATTAAGGAAATGTATACGGAGCAGATTTTTCTGGATGTTTTCCACCACTGGCTCTCATGTAGATAAAACGTGATACACTCCTCATCTGGAGTTCATCAACATGCTTACTCGTTTTAGTTTACTTATCAAGATTCCCTTGTCCAATGTGTGAATCCTGTAAAGCTAAATAATAATGCTTTAGTCAGGGTTTCAAAGGGGTTTAAAGGAAATAAACCAGCTCAAGAAGAATGGCTTGGAAAGTATATGAATACCTATGATTGGAGCCCATTACATAAAAGAAGTATGAAATTCTTAGTGTAGGAAAATAATGTGCTGTAATTTCTAAGTTTACTGCTTTTTTTATATTTAGAGAACTTTTTAATGGATTTTTCAAGGTTAAGGGTTAGTAAAAGTTCCTGCCTACATTTTTATCCTCTTCTCTGGCTTACTTCCAGACATTATTTCCTAAGAGAGAGGGTATCTCATCATCTGGTACAAATTTAGCTAGCAAACAAGGGCATATAGGAGGCTGTTGGGTCTCTTCTCCAGTAAGTAGTGGATTTATTGCTTCAGGCACCAAACATTTATTCACAAGCTTTGGTCTAGTTTGAAGCTCAACAATACCTTTGGCTAAAACAATTAGCATAATGTCACAAATATTTAAATGATCCAATACAATAAATATCTTCCATTATAACCTAAGCATCTAAGAAAAAAATAATTTCACCTTCCTGTGTTGTGTTCATTTAAACAGTACAATTTGTCATATTAGTCTCATTTCATCGCTGATCCCTCTTGTGAGTATTAGTTCATAATGAGAACGTTAAACCTTCATCTAATCAAAACAAAGAACCTGGGAAATATTCAAGTTCAGTATATTAGGGACATAGTAATGAATTAGGTTAGTATATTAACATTTGACCTCTGAATGCGGGAGTTCAAATCTGGTTTAAATTAAAAGAACACCATACAATTTATGAGACATTGCAGTATCTACCCAGAAGAGGCCAATGTCTTAAAGTGCCATAGTTTCAGAGTTAGAAAGCGTAGTGTGCTGAATGAGATCTGTACGACAGCATTGAAGTATTTTTGATATCTTATTTTACATCAATTTGCATAAAGTATAGAGCTAATATTATACCCAAAAGATAAAAATTATGCATGGTCACGTATACATATAAAAAAATCACAGATTCTGCCCTCATTGGGTCAAATGGTGATCTCCATTACTAATATTTTTTAATAAATTCAGAAAAATCAATATTTTTCCAGTATAATGGGAAAAAACCTCTAGCTGTCATATGAATAGTAGTAATAAATTAGTATTAAATAGTAGTAATAAATTATACCAGTATAGAAACATGATGACTACAGGCTTTTTTCTGGAAATACAAAGAGTCCAGTTCAAATCCTCAAATGTGTCTGCTCTACACACTACAATGTAACTAGTTTGCATATCTCCACATCTACCTGCAGTGTGCTGAACAAATGTACCTGGAAATTTCCTTGTTCTGCTTCAAAGCTATCACCATGTAATTGAAGTTGCTAAAATGACCTTTAGGAAATGGACCTGGGCAGTCTAGAGGTCTGAGGTACCTTGGAAATTGTCACTGCACTTAACACAGGCTGCCAAGCTTGAGTGTTCATGCTGGAAATTTGTTTCATTCTGCTGTTTCAAGATTGATTTTTAGGTTTGTCTCTACTTTGCCCTAAGAGGCAAAGAAAATAAGAAAATTCTGCATTCCAGCAGCTTTCAGATATACTCACTTACCTCAGAGCAGAAGAGTGATAAAATGTCTTTTCCTTAGCAGTAAAGACCAACCTAAAACATTAATTTCTTTCTTCATTTCTTCATTCATTCATTTCCTTCCCCTTTATTCATCACTGCTGAGGCTACACCTAAAGTACTGCGTCCCGTTCTGGCCTCCCCAGTACAAGAGAGACATGGACTGGAGAAAGTCAAATGAAGGGCCACAAAGATGAAGGGACTGGAGCATTTCTTCTATGAAGAAAGGCTGAGGGAGCTGGGACTGTTCAGCCTGCAGAAGAGAAGGCTCAGAGGGATCTTATTAATGGATATATATACCTGAAGGGAGGGGGCATAGAGGACAGAGCCAGGCTCTTTCCAGTGGTGCCTAGTGACAGGAGCAGAGGCAAACTGATACACAGGATTTTCCCTCTGAACATCAGGAACCACTTTTTTACATTGAGTGTGATTGAGCAGTGCACAGGATGCCCAGAGAGGCTGTGGAGTCTCCATCCTTGGAGATAATCAAAAGCCATCTGATCACAGTCCTGGGCAACTGGTTCTAGAGGGCCCTGTTTGAGCAGGGGGGTTGAACCAGACATCCTTCAGAGGTCCCTTCCAGCCTCAACCATTCTTTGACTGTGTTTCGCAAATAGATCTGCTACTAGTGAAAGAACTAACCCAAGTTGTCTTAAAAGTGACTGAAGCTGGCTCTTCCTTCAGTGTCATTAATGAGGATTTTGCTTGATCTGAATAGGCAGAGAAAGGGTGTTTCTGCACTAGCATGTAACTTCCGTCAGAAGTATGATGATGAAGCAGATCTCCCTATTGTCCCCAGTCCATGGTGTGAACAGTTTTGGTTCACATCACAGGGCAGTCTGAGAGTGGTTGACCTAGATTCCTTTCAGATGAAACTAAATAGGAAGACTCTTTTCTCCTAATCTTTCCCAGTCATTTCAGGAGCTGCTAACTGAGGTAACAAATTAGGTATGTGAGTTTCAAACCTAAGGAGGAGTGTCAGTGGGATGTGTGCTTCTAATTTACTTCAGGGCTTTGAAAGTTCGAATATGGTTTTCATCCCTTTACCCAAAGTTCTTTCTCCCTTTTTTTTCCAAGGTCTTACTCTTCTTACATTTATTTGCTGATATTCTTTAGCTGTCAGCTTTGTCTTTACATATCTAATGAGCTTTTGTCCATTCAGAAACTTGAAATTACAGAATCTGCTGACTTGCAGTTTCCAGCCTGCGGCTTAATGATCCAGAGAGAAATCTCAGTTGTACAGTCACAAAGCTCAGTAAAGGGAAAGACGTGGATTTAAAGCTAAAGAGTAGTGTTTGATGGCTTTAATGGACTACAGTTCAGTGCTATGTTAGTCTTCCGCATTTACTGTGATCCAAGAAGCGCTGGCCTACTATTCAGCAGGTTTGCATTCTGATTTCAGTCATGCTTCTGATCTACTTTTTCAGGAAAGCAACAACAAATGTGTGTGTCTCAGTTTTCTTATTTGCAGAATTGATATGAAATCTTAAAATGCATTTAAGATTTATAAATGAAGAACATAAAGGTAAATAGCATTATTTCAATTAGATCATAGCACAGAACAAAAGGGTTCTGAGCAGCATTTCCCTTATGGAAATGTCTCTTTTATATAGTTTTCCAACATTAAAATGTGTGCTTCTAAGACTCTCCTGAGAGGAGGCTGAGCATTGCCACAAGGCAATCAAAGTGCTGGTGCTTTCTCTGTTCCTGTTTAGGACTTCATAGGCCACAATAAGAATTTTCAGTACTTTCCAGTATACAGAAAACCAATTTGTAGTGCATCTAATAATCTGTGCCCAGCAAATGATTTTGAGTCTTTTGAATTTCATAAACAAGGGGCAAGCAATAAGGTGTTCTTTTTTCCTAACATCTACTTCTGCACAGAATACTGCATGTAACTTAAGTTAGGTGTTATCTGTATTTTGGAAGAACAGAAGCCATCAAACAGAAGCCATCACCCACAGTTTTATAGTGTGCATATGGTTCACTCTGAATGGACAAGGCAAAACATCATTTATTTATAACAAGGATTTGTGTGTCCAAGCTTTGACATAGTTTGAAATACAATAAAGCACATGCTACTCTGAATCGTGTGATTTTCAACAAAGATATAGCATATTATTTATTTCCCTCAATTCTCTGTTTAGGTCAAGAACAAGACAGCAAAACAGCTTTTTAAAAATACTCCTTCTCCATTAGAGGGTGCCTGGAAAGATCAAATCAAAACATTTGGCAGAAATTAGTTTGGTTTTGGCAGAAGACTGTCAGCTTTACCATCAATAATCTGCCTGGTTTCTAGCGTGTCTGGCTTCCTCACATCCAGAGCTCTCCAGCAGCCCAGGAAGCAGAAAGGCAGATGATATTTTGGGAATGCCAAAAACTGGGCTCTTGGATCTGAGAGAACTCAGCATCTCTGAATTCTGAAATCTATGTAATCAGGTAGGCAGACTGTCCCCCTATCAAACTGTGAGTCTCTCTATGGACTCTGGAAGACTATTCAGGAATTGCAAGACCCAATTTTTCATTTTATCAAGACTATTTCTGAGACCACCTCTCCATGCTGTTTGAAATGCCTCTTTGCCCTTGAATTATTCTGAATACATGACTGCTAAAAGGGGGAATGCACTTTGGGGTGAAGAAATGCAGAATAATTAAAATTTTTTACAGTATAGGGATACCCATAGTTAACAACTGTAAAATCTGGCTTCTTATGTGTATTCTGTATGCACCTGGTGGACTTGAAAGGTGAACTTTGCCAGTAGTGTTTATTGTGGATGATTCCTTGTCACTCTGCTTGCTTAATTGCATCCATTAGTGAGAAGAATAATTAAAGGAAAGACACTTTCTACTTGCAGTAACATATTTTTGTAGAAATATGTGTATTCCAGTACTGTAAGTTCAATAACCCAGTGCATTAGGGCAATTTCTGAAGGTTTATTTTTTTAGAACCCATTTATAATAATACATTATTAATAGAATTAAAGAAGTTCATTTCTGCATCTCTTCTTATATTTGGTACATATAAAATAGTACAGTTTTAAAGATTTTATCTGATATTTTACCAGGTTTAAAATATTTCAGCTGTAGTAACTACTTTAAACGTAAGAAAGCAAAAGGACCAGTCTAAGAAAAAAAATCAGAATAAACTAAGCCCATTTATTTTGACATGTAGATCAGTTACATCGTTACTACCTAAAGAACAGATTAATTTTTTTAAAATCTTCCAATACAGATTTTTGGCTCCTGTACAGATTCCATGAAATTTCTTTTTATTCTGCTACAGTTTCCCACTTAACGGCTACCAAGGCAGCTGCGTAGAAGAGTGCACATGGGAAGGGGGCTCAAGTAACGGAACAAAAGAATGAACTAGTCATCACAAGTTAGTGACATTTTCTGCCCCCTGAGCTGCCTTTTTCTGACTTGAAAAACACAGGTGCATAAACTAAAGATGCCTCCAGATAGCTTTCAATTTGCAAAAAGCCCTATTCCATAGATCATGTGTCTGGCTGGCTTTGACATGTTTCTGGAGTCATAATTTCATAGGTGAATGAGCTTGAAAAATGTCTTCAGTATGATAAGGACAAATAAGCTTTTGTTCCACAGCAGGCATGAGTGTCTTTTCTTTGTTCCTCTTTACAGCACTTTCAATAAGCATATTTATTCTGGTCAGTATCAAGAAAATCTAATATATGTTAAAATTTCAGTTCCTCTGTGATCTCTTTGCTTTGCTGTCACCAATTTTTGTTTATACATAATATTTTAACATGACACGCTTAACACAAAGCATTCTGGGATGAGTATCATGAACAAATCTCATAATTGCTGACTGAGGGTTTTGAGAGATAAGTTGCATAGGTTGGGAGAACAGCATTTTACAGATGCCATTGCAGTATTTGGCTGGCTGCAAAGGAACATTTTAAAATGAATAATTGATGTGCCCTAGATATACTAGATTCTTGACTGAACAGAAATAATTATTATACCAAAAGCCCCCATCTAAATCTTAGAAAAGAAAAAGAAAAACTAAGAGTGGTAGGAACAGATGTATTTAAACATCATGGTCACTTTTGTTAGTAACCACACTCTATGATGTACATGAGATAAAGAAGACACAGTTGTTTGTGTTCGGATTGTTTATTTTGAGCCTTGAGAAAGCGGAGCATTTTAAAGGAGATTTGAGAGAGCAGCAGGAGAACCAAGATACATAGGACTGACGGGGACCTCTTCTGCAATTACATACCACCGTGCCATATGGAGTTTTTTATAAATTATCATCTCCACTGGGAGACTGCTCCAGAATTTCATCTCTCCAAAATCTAGAATTTTCAATTTCCAGCCTAAATGCATTCAGCTAGTTTACCTATTTATTTCTGTGAAAAGACTGTTATTTAGTTTAAATGCTTCCTTCTTCACTGTTTACTTATTAGCAGACTACTAAATGGGAATGGTAATCCATCTGCTTTTTTTTGCTCTTTCTGTTCTTATGTATTTATTATTTCATTCAAAATCTATTGTAAAGTAGATGTAGGCAAATGTTTTGGATACTTGCAAAGGTATGATTTCAAAAGGCTGAAATGCAGGCAAAAAACATTCTGATTGCTTGAAATGGATGGTTTTACTATGCCACCCACTAAACTCTGGGAATAGATGGCGAAGTCAGTGTGACATGAGAAAGAGAACAGGGAGCCAAACTGACACAGTAAAAAAACAACAAAGAAAATGGAGCAAACCCACGGGGAGGTTGTGATGGGTAGTCAAAGCGAATGAAGAACCTTTAGGTTTGTTCACTGATATGGCCACTTTGCTTTTTAAAATTAAGAGCAGTTAAGAATGCAGCAGAATTCTAATCATGCCAGATGCCTTCAAGCAAAAACTTTGTGAACAAACAGAGCAATCATCACTGCCATCATGAACCCCTTTTTGGGCTAACAGTTACATGGGAGAGAACTAGTCAAAGTTAGAGATCTAGACAACTAGGGGTAAACTGGTTTCACTCGGTGCATATGCAGCCAGCACCCTTTATCATACCACTCACATCTTTCAACCCATGACTCGATGCCGCTGACTTGTGCTCCATCTTTTGATATCCATTGGAGTACTTTGTGTCAAAAAGACCTATTCTCCCATTGCCCTGATGCTCTATTGCTGTTTAGCCATCTAACAGCTCAAATAACATCAAGTTGCACAGTTAAGTGTTCCCTTCATAGGTGCTTTGGTGGAACATACAGAGCTGAGTGATTCTGCATGAAAAGCAGAGAATCCAGATGTTGTGTTCTCACAAAAGCCTTGTGCAGCCATAGCCTGGTAGGCAGCTTATCAATGGAAAAATTGTTTACCCAGGGACTGACTGGCAATCCACTTCACCATCTGGTTGGAGTGCTCCTCTTGGCTGTATTGCTGACCTCCTGGAGCTGGCAGCTTGTTTAAATTCCAAGTGGGCTTCTCAAGATGGAGGCAGTCCAACATGCCTCTATTATCAGCCATGTTGCCTTGGACTTCATTTTAGATGGATAATTATTTAGGCCAGCACTTCCGCTTTCACAATCTATGGTTGCAATATTTGTTTCTGCTCTCCAAAAACAATGCTATGTCTTACACTGGACCATAAACTACCTCCAATCTAACATGAATAAATATATAGGTGTAGCTGTTGTGTCAATGAATGTCTCCATTTCCTCAGCTTTGGCATTTCAGGCACTGATCTTTTGAGTTACTGCATAATTTGGACTTCATGGAAAGTCTTATGACAGCTCATTAGCATGCAAGTCTGAGTGAGCCAGCAGCCTGACCACTCCAGTTCTGTTCAGGCAGAAGCTAGTTATCCTCATCATTGTTATCAAGCCACCCTCAGTGTCACAGATGTGACACAAAACATTTCATGCTACTCTTCATTAGAAAAGATTTCTAATGGCATTATTAGAAAAGGTTTCAGTGGCAGCCAGAGCAACAACCATAGGCAGCTACTCAGAGTTCTTGCCGCTCCTTTGCTTTTCCCCTCAGCTGCAAAAGAAATGTAATGTGCATCAAAGGATAACTGCCAAAAAAACTTCTAAGTAATCATATGTGTTTCAGTCTAGCAGTTTTCACCACGTACTGCATCCCCTGATACTTCTCGATTCCATTAGGCACATGGTGACATCTTGTCAGAGAAATGGAGGTTGCTCAATAACTTTGTTCTGGGGCTCCCTGGTATTCCTATTTTACTTTCAGTAGCTAAAAGTTACTCCTGTTTTAAAAGCTCTTTGTCCATTGAATCTCTGATTAATTTATATTAGAACAATATTGTGTTACAGCAGCAAACATTGTCACACAGAACACTAATTGTCATGACCAAGGATGACAAATCCGATCCCAAATGGTTGATTTGGAACAATTATAGATGCATTTGCACAGTAATAGTGAGCACAGTATTATGACACAATGAGTTGTTAAGTTGCATAAATCATACTGCAGTTTAATTGTTTAGATTCTCGAGCACTCCACTATCCCACAGGGAAGACCTTTTTTAAATTTAGCTCTGATCTTTACTTTGATGAGTAAGATATTTCCAACAGTTCAGACTTAAAGTATTTTTTTTCTTTGGTTGGTTTTTTCAGATTGAGTTTTACATCTGCACAAGAAAATTAAAATGTATAAAATGTCACCAAACACATAGTTGAGAGTACTGAACTTGAAAGCTGAGAAATACAGCACTCGCACATGCTGTACCTATGTATAAAATATAGTAGTGCTGGAGTTCTCTATTTATGGGTTATGTAAGCTAAATAACTGTCAAAATTTCACCCTAAAATTCTATTTAAAATAAGGAATTGAACCGCCACGAGAGAGAAAATATAAATTAAAAAAAAAACAACACTGAAAAAATTGTAAATGGTTAATGATTTTTTTTAATGTAGAAATACAGGTATTATATAACAGAATATAAACCGGGATTTATGTATTTTTCTGTATAACAATTCTATCATGGAAAATAAAGCTATAGGTTTTCAAATTTACCTTACAGCACTGGTAAAAAGAACAATGGAGTCCCTGCAGCAAACCACAGCCTTGGAAGTGCCACTAAAGGTAGGGACAATTCTGAATTTCCATTACCGTCTCAGGCATACTTAGCTCTGTATGTTATCAACATCATGCTAAGAATCTAGAGACAACCATTTTGCCTTTCACTTCAATAGTTTTGTTTTCATATTTGAAAGTAATTGCATTTTTAAATGGCTATAAAAATTCTGGAAGAAAATAACTGAAAGAAACTCAGCCTCCATTTTGGAAAGTGTGATTGTCATCGACTCTTGTCTTAGCAATGCAGTATGATAATTTCAAAATCTATTTCCTTCATTGCCATGAAATTTCTGCTGGCTGTGGTAGAGTGAGAAATATGTGCCTTTAATAGGCTTTCTAAATGTGCCAGGCATTCATTACTGCTAAAAAACTATTGAAAAAGATCTTTCTTCAGTAATTTTCACTTCAAAAATTGGTCTCTTCACCATTTCCATGTGTATGCCTAAAATACAGAGCAAAGTCATTGGTCAGTGTTTAAGGTATAGGACATCTACCAGAACAACATCTGTAAAAACTGAGTAGCTAGTTACACAGTTACTGTGTCTATGTATTTGACCTAATTATAATAATTTTATGAACAATTCTCTTTTCCTCTCACAAGACTGTACCCTTCACCCTAGCCTACCCCTCAGCTTTTGTTGCTTAATAAAGGACTATAGTTCCTGGGAATCCCTAAACTTATTAAGTGAGCAACAGTGCAAGGATTTCCAGTTTCCTGAGAAATGGAGTACTTGGTGTTGCCAGCTCTCTCATTCAGCAGTATTACTGAACAGGATTTGGGGACAGAAAAAAAATTTATTTATTTGAGAAATCGTTACAAAATACAGACTTGCACTAATGGAAATGGACGAAAAATAAAACTACAAGTTCTAGTTTATATTTCTTCCCCCAGATCTTCTATATGTTCTGTGTAATTCAGCATCTCAGCCGCTTTATGAGGCTTTCTCTGGAGGTCTTGCGGTTACATTTTCTGGGTCCTTATGGAGCCCATCTTTACCACAGTAACTGAGAGAGGATCATGAGGGGTATCCCAGATCTAAACTAGTCTTCCTGTCCTGGAATCCCCCTCTCACTGTTCCATTAAGCCTTGTAAGAACTTGCACTCCTGTTTAACAGATTTGGTCGAGTGAGACTTTTTGGCCATACTGGGATTATACATTCATTGCACTGACTCTCAAGCTTTATAAACTGTGTTTCTATGGGTGGCTGACATTGTATACCTGTGATTACCTAGTTTCTTTAGCTATAAATGCCTTGAAAAAACAAGCAAGACTGTTTTTCAAGGTGTACTACATCTGAATATTTTTAATGACAGTATTAGTAACCTGACACTCATGCTGCTATAAGGTTCATTAAAATAATCAAATATGGTATTATTGACAGTATACAAAGTGAACAGCAACACCATAGTCCTTCCTTGATAGTTTTAGGAGATTCTTTTTGGCAAATTTGCCAGAGAAAACATCGTTCATACTTTGCCTAAGGAAGTCATTGCCATGAAATAAAGTATGAACAATTTAATGAGTTTCTAAGAAAGACAAACAATTTATATGGTTAATGAGAGTGTTCTATGAACATGTGGGCAGAATATAATTTTAGTGTTATATATTTCAGACAAGCCATTAACTGTCAGGAGGTTTTAATGTCCTATGGACAAAATGGGACACATCATCTTAGAACAAAAATTTGTTTCACCTATGTCTAAGGTATTTACTATCACACACTGGCAAATTCATCTTGAAAATAGATAGTAAACGTGTTCAATATGTCATTCTCTGTTAAAAAGCAACTACTTTTTAATAGGTGAACAGAAACACGTTCTTGGACAATAAGCAGTTGTCTGGGCTTTTCAAAGATCTTTAATAGGTAGTAGAAATATTTGGAAGTACATCTTTTATTACCCTTGTTTTGGTCTCCTTTTCCTGAGCAAATTACTATGGGAGTCATGGCATACTTTTGCTCCTACTGTATATTAGACTACATGTATCATGAAGATACTTCCATCTTCTTCTGAAGCATCATGAATAGATGAATGGCAGAAGCCAGACAGAAAACATAAAGTACTACCAGCTTGACCTTAGAGAGGAAATTGAATGATCTTAAAAAAAAATATGTGTTTGTCTTCATGTTGTTTACCCTTCTATACAGTACGAATGTCCTTTAGGATTAAAGATGCTGGAGATGAAAAGATTTTCCTGAAATGCTCCTGCTCTCCTTCAGTACACTTGCTTCAACTAAATATGTATTATATGCTCTGTAAATATGAATATTACTTTATAATACACAGGAAAAATGTCACTAAAGTAGAGCACACAGTCTTAATGGGGAGAGATTTTTTTCTTCTTTGAGGAAAAGGATGCTTTATCTTTGAAGTAGCTTCTTTACCAAAATATAGTCCTTGCTAATGAGGCAGCTTTCATGTCAGAAAATCTACTGTGTAACAGAGCACCAGTAACTGCAAAACAAACTGAAATAAAACTAAAGCAACAACAAAAATACCCCAGAATTGAGAAAGTGGATGTTAAAAAAACCTAATATGTTTATGCATTACTGACAAAGTTGCTGATTATAAACACTCTGATTCTGTAGCTCTTTTGAGAAACGTAAAAAGATGAGTTTTGCTTTAGCATATTCCTTGCAATTCAGTAACATGCATTTGCAACTTCAAAACTGAAAGTTAGTCTGAATTGTTAAGGTATTTTAATCAAAATTGTTGTGTTAATTAAGCATTAATAGGTATGAAGGACATATTGATAGGCATGTAATCTAGAGCAGTATCAACATCCAAAGGGAAAAGCAAAAATAATAATCTTGCTATATGTGATGTGTGTGTTTGTTTAAATTTTTATGTTTTTTCTCTGACAGGTTCCCTTGAAAGTGATTCTTACCACTGGGAAATCATGGGGGTGTATGACAGAATTGCAGGAGATGTAAAGCAGTCATTGGGGATGTTATTCAGCACCCGTCCGTACACCTCATTGGCCTATGCTGATTCCTCGCTGAATCACTAGGCAACAGCGCTGCTGGATCTTTCATAAGCACCTAATACTCTGCATGTGAATTTTTTTACTTCATTTTGTCTGTAGCCCTAGGCAACAGCAGTGAGATAAAACTGGTTTTTACCAGTTCATTGTGTTTCCTTTAGCCAAGGTAACCAGCAGGGAGCTGCTTTTGTTCACAGCTAAATTACTTACATGTAAGAAATGAAGCAAGACAATATTAACCCTTTGGGAATGTGAGAAATACATTTGAGTTAGAGGTTTAGACTTCAATATTTTGTGAAGTGCTTGTGTAAAAATACTTGTAATCTGGCACTGTTTGAACTCTATCAGCAAATGCTTAATGTTGTGTTCAGCTTATTTGATATTTTGTGAGTAGAAGGCAGCTGCTTGGTTTGCATCATATATTAAATGCCGTGTTCCACAGACTTAGAAAAAGAGTTCTTTGGAAATTAAGAGTCTCCAACTTAATTTCTATTTAGGATTTTGGAGCAAAGCAGGTAAACACAACTGGATGCCTAAACGCACTAAAGCAACCAGGTTGTTGTCAATTCAATTAATTTCAAACTCTATTTGTACACTGTAGCCTTAGAATATTTTAGAAGAAGTGTTACAGTTTTGCCTAATCTGATATTTTTGTTACTGATGCAATGCTAAATATTTTTCAGATATATTTTAGGGTTCAGCCTTGAACTTTTTGGGATTTGGGCTTCTACTTTAATGTTTGGATTTGCTAATGATACTTTGGGTTTCTGTAGAGTTTATTCTTTAAATGAGTTTGTTTCATAGCATTGCTGGTTGCTAAATTCTTCCTCTGTGCTTGTAGAACATGAAACTGTCCTCAAGTCTAATTACTTAGAAGTTGAAGTCAAGCACAGAACTTTTAAGAGGTGTCCAGTATCTTCCAGCATTAGATCTCAAATGATCAAAGTAATATCATTTAAATTTTTAAAGTGTATAGTTACAGAGATTTTACAGCAGTTTTAATTTGTATCATTAAACTATTTTGCATAGTGCTTAAAGGCATTAAACTGTTAAACATGTTTTCTTATGTTGCATATTAATCATACATAACCTGTCAGCTGAAGTGAGTCAGTCATTTGTAAAATTGATTCTTACAGTTATAAGCAGTGGTCATGTAAGCAAAGTCAGAACCTTCTATGTATTAACTGGGGTCAGCCTTTCAGTTGAGTTGAGGGGGAGTCCAGCCTGCATGGCTGTGACACTGCGCCAGGTTGTGGGAGCACAGGGTCTGATCCCACCTTTCCAGCAGACAAGAGCTTGCACAAATTTTCTTCTGCTTTTTGCCATTTCCAAGCCTTCTGTGTTTGCAGTGGCATTGAATAAGTGTGAAATGTTCCACTGCCTCATCTGTTTCACTCCTCTTGAAGACACACTGTTTTCAGGAGGCCTGTACTAATTAAGCCTTGCTTCTTTAAGGCTGCATTGCTAACCTTGCCACTGTAGTAAAGAAGTCAGTGTTTTTGTATGTTTCCCAGCATATTTCCACCTTGTGTATGCTTCTTAGGATGCACACGTTAAAATTAGATAGATAGTGAATTTTTTAAGTAAGTCAAGTCCTGAACAATACTAGGCATACCCTTCAGCCTAACAGAAAACAAATACACACTTCAGAACATAAAGAACCTTGATTCTGTCCTGTGAATTGACATCTGTTCAAATATGAAGCTACAGAAATGCAGAGGTCACCATCCAGAACAAATTTTCAAACACAGCCCTTCATAAAGGACTGTCAGTCACATTTCCCCAGACACATGCACTTTGTATAGCTTGTCATACAGCGGGCAAGGTTAATATTTTGTTCTTGTGTTGCAGAGAGAGACTGCGAGCTCCTCTGGGCACCAGGTTTGCCCCTTCTGCTTTTACAACTTCTCTTCCTGTTTTTAAATTTCTAAAGAATCAGTTGACAAAAGGAAGAGGACCAGGCAATAAGGGCACCGCTTTATTACACATGTCCAATGGTTCATTCTGCATACGCTGGTGGGAGGGCAAAAGGCAAACTGGAGGATCATTGATGACCAAGATCTCAAGGCTTGTGTCCTCGCAACTAGCAGGCTGCATACCATGAACTCAGGATATCTTCCCAGTAATCCAGATTCTCCAGTAAATAAACTGTTTTCTTTTAATTGTAGCCTGTGAGTTGTCATATATACATTTATGACATAGCGAGGTGAAGACCAGAGCTCTTTGATGTACATGCAACCAGTGTCTGCTGTACTATGAATTACAAATGCTAGGATGTTCACAATATTCTGATTCTGTTCTTGGATAGCCAGGTGAGTACCTAGTCTTTACAATCTGCTCTGTGCTACTGTGTTTAGGTATAGATTTTGTGGATTGTTAGATTTATCAGACCTCACTGAAGTGCTTTGGCTTCAAAATTCCTTAGTTTTTAACTAACTTACTTAGAAGATCCCAGACATTGAGAAGAGTGCTGAGTCTTTGAAACAATTCTTTTACTTTGCAATCCATTCCCACTGCCTTCTATCCTGTATGGCAACATAGGGTGTGGAAACAGCTGCATTTTTCAAATTGTGAAATTTCAGTAGTATATATCTCTTTAGCATGGCAATAACTTCCTTGAACAAGCTCTTTGAAATAAAGTAGTGTTTGCAATTCATTTCTCAACAAGGTCCTGTGGACAAGGCATCAGTTTTACCACACTTGTATGCTGATTTATGTGTAAGTATAAAATGAGGGCAATGCAGTATTTCCAAACCCTAGGCAAGCTACCCTGTAGCATGCCTGAATCTGAAGAGCTATTATAGGGATGCAAGGCCAGTCCTAACCACAGGTTTCCTCCCAAATAAATACAGGTGAAAATATTCTGTATTTGATGACTGCCAGGAATTCCTTTTGGGTGGCACAATAATTTCACACCAGAGAACTCAAGACCCTAATTCTAATAAATTACCACCTTTTCAGGTTATTTTAGTTCTGCTTGAAAGGGACATGAGCATGCTGGAGCAGAAGCAATCATAAGAGCCCTTTTCAATCCTTAAATCTCTCAATTTGATCTCTAAAATGATTCCCTTTTTATCCCAAGCTATGAAGAGGTACTGGGAGAGCAAGAAACAAAACTTCTGTTTCAAGTGCAGAACCCTGCAAAAGCACTGATCAATGAGAGTGGGAGATCACAGAATAGATGAGGAGAGGGGAATAAGTGGCTCTGCTTGTCTTCAGCTATCTTTTGTGGGCAGAAATTTCATTGATTGACTCTTTGAAAGCAGTAATAACCCCTTTTGAACTGACTTGTGTCTTTAGGTTTGATTTCAGTTGTGTCTTTGGTGGCCTGAATCTTTCCTTACATCATCTGTAAATCTTTTCATTAGCCATGTGGAGTAGTGGGGAAAGAATGCTGTCTGAAAACACTTCGACTTGGTGTCTGTGAGAAATGGAAGTGCACAGCTACTTGCTGGCATTTGCATGGGTATGGCGTGATCAGTACATATCTACTCAGGACTTGACTCTTTTAATGTCCACATACCACTGTGGAATGGTGGGACTCTGATCTTGAACACTGGTCCAACCTGATAGTAACCGTAGTTCAAACACTGCTCTCAGATTTTTGTAAGCAAGACATTTTAAGTGTGAGGGGAAAAAAAAACTCTCAGCTTTTGAAAACTGAGAGTAGATTGAGAAAATGAATCTGCTAAAGCATCCAGGACATCATTTGTTCTTGGTAGTGATTAAGAAAAAGCCCTTGAAAGTAAACTCATTTCATTTGGGGAGCCCTCAGAAACTGTTCGTCTCATTTTCTTGTTTAATCTGATTTGAAAAGGAGGCCAAAGAATGGGATGAAGGTTGTCTGATGCATCCTGATATATTCCGTCAGTGGCCTAAAACATCTCTTCTCACTTTACCTTTAGAAGACTTGGATAAATCCCTGAGTAACCTGGTCTTGACCTCATAGCTCACCTCCTGAGGTCCCAGCCATCCTGAATTTCCCTATGATCCTGTGCCATTATTCAGTTGGACAACAGCTGAAATTCCCTTCAAATATTCTGCTGCACTGCATTGAAGTATACAGTGCCATACTAGAAGAAGCCCCAGAAATGTTTTGGGATTTCATTCCTCCTTCCCACCTGTGTTGCCTCATTCTGTGCCAGGATTTACTATATTCCCTGGCTCACTGGCTCACTTTTGGCTGGCACACTTCCTTTTGATATTAGCAGGTTGTCAGAAACGTTTGGCTACAGGCTCTTCAGAAGGGATAGGCAAGGAAAAAGAGATGGTGGGGTTGTGTTGTATATCAGCGAGTGCATTGCCTACCTTGAACTCAATGTTGTGAGTGAGAAGGCTGAATGTTTGTGGGTGCAGATCAGGGAGAAGGCCAACCAAGCAGATACTCTGGCAGGAGTCTGTTACAGATCACCTAGCCAGGATGAAGCTACAGATGAGCTGTTCTTCATACAACTGAGAGAAGTTTCACAATCATTTGCCCTTGTTCTCATGGGGGACTTCAATCTACCAGATGTCTGCTGGAAGTACAACAGAGAGAGAAGAAACAATCCAGGAGGTTCTTGGAGGGTGTGAAAGATAACTTCCTAACCCAGCTGGTTAAAAAGACCTTACCGCTTTCTATTGTTAAATAACAACTACCTGAGAGGAGGTCGTAGTGAGGTGGGGGTCAGTCTCTTCTCCCAAGTAACAAGCAATAGGACAAGAGGTAACAGCCTCAAGTTGTGCCAGGGGAGGTTTAGATTGGATATTAATAAAAATTTCTTCACCGAATGGGTGCTCAGGCATTGGAACAGGCTGCCCAGGGCAGTGGTGGAATCACTGTCCCTAGAAGTGCTCACAAACCGTGTAGACCTCAGTGACATGGTTTAGTGGTGGTCTTGGCAGTCCTGGGGTAACAGTTGGACTTGATGATCTTAAAGGTCTTTTCCAACCTAAATGATTCTATGATTCACAGAGTGAAAGGAAATCAGTTCTTATTTCTGCCATTCTGCAATAGTTGTAGTAGGCAGGGTGTCTCTGGGATTTAAAATATATTTCAATCATATCCTGTTTTTGCTTTCCTGGGAAACTTCCCCAGCCTGATTGCAACAGCTCTACTGAAAACAGCAGCCTCCCATCAGCTTGGTCTTCTGAGATATCTTTGAAGTGCACTTCTACAACCCACTTTTGTAAGGTCCTCTCATGTTTTCAGGTGTGTCTTTATTACTCACTTGTAAATCCAAGCAATTTTTTATCCTCTCTGCTTGTTTTTTGAACTCTGGAGGTCCAGCTTCCAAATGATGTTTACACTTTTTGGTGTGTTTTAACACGTCACTGTCTCCACTAAGACTAATTAATTCAATAATCCTTAGATTCTTTCTTCCTCAGCTTTTGCTGTGTACA